TTAGGGTTTAGGGTTTAGGCAAAGCTACATGAGAAAACAATGACGTCAAAGCTTCCGATAGGTTCTAAGCATGAAACCCCCCAGAAACTTATCTTGCCATGCCGTGCAAAGGGTTCAAAGTTCAAAGTGGCAACCGGCTTCCTTGCACAAACTGAGAAAAAGCACCAGCATTAGATCCGAGGCCAAAATCCTGAACGCGAAACCCCAGGCCCGAAACCAACTATCGAAAGCCCCAATGTAGGACTTCAAAGACGACGCAGTCAAAACACAGTAGTAGGAACAACAAATGTTCATAGCAAAGCAAACAAACAAGCAAGCAAGCAAGAAAGCAAACTAGTGCACAGACAACTAAACAGCAGATGAACATATAAACAAAGAAACAACACAACACGTAACCAAGCCGAACAACAAGCGAGACTACATGGTCAATATAGACGCAAATATTGTTACCAACAGTAAACAAGCAACTGCTACATAAGATAATCACATCAATTCCTAACAATGACAGTAAGACTCAGTAAAAAGACTTGCTTGTAATGTCGTAATACTCTTGCCGACCACTCCCGAATCCCAAAACCAACCTCCTCCATCCGCTGGTTGTCGCCGCTTGTGAGGCGATCCGCTGCCACGGTGGAAAGCAGCGCGTAGTTCACCTTGAGCCTGACGTAAACGTAGAGTTTGGGGAAGTATAGGCTACAGGGTTGTGGGGGGGGACATCTGGTTCAGGGATTTAGAGACTACCTATAGGCTCCATTGTAGTTCCGTTTTGGGGTTACCTTATACGGTCCTACATAGGAACCACAAACAGGAACTACAATGGAGCCTATAGGTAGGGATGTAGGGCATAGCTATCAGGGTCATGGTACAGGATTGTAACTAGTACTGTAACTCCACTTCAGTCCAGGGTTACATCTGCTTTTCTCAACCCCGAACCGTACAAACACTACACAGGGCTTAGGGTTTTTGGGGTTCAGGGTTTCAGGTTTAGGGTTTAAGGTTTACTGAAAACCCTCTAAATCCTCAACCCGGAACCCTCACACCCTGCAACCTGGCCAAGGGTGACAGAGGCTTGTGGGTTGGGACGGAGGTTTGCGGCTTTCATGATCAGAGAGACCCACAAAGTTCAGCGCAACCCGGGACTCATTGTTGAAATCCTTAACCCTACACCCTAAAATCATGGGAGTTTTGCAAGTAGAGGCTCAGGTTGCGAGCCCCTTCTAACGTAGGGGCCCTAACAATTAGAACAGGGTTTTGGGGTATATTATATAGACTACAACTATAATTAATAATTAATAAGGAACCACCAAAAAACTCCAAACCCTAAACCCTAAACCCTAATAGTATAGGTAATTATTTACGCCCCTATGCTACAAGCAACTCACGCGCCTGCGCTGCTTCTGCCTTATGCGCTCTTCCTTCTTCGGGTCGCCTTTCCTTTGGGTGTGTTAGAGCTTGGGGTTTTGGGTTCGGTTTAGGGTTTAGGGTTTAGGGTTTAGGGTTTAGGGTTTAGGGTTTAGGGTTTAGGGTTTAGGGGGTTTCGGCTTGGGGTTTTGGGTCAAGGGGTGCATAGGTTTTGGGGTTTCGGCTTGGGGTTTTGGGCTAGGGGTCCATAGGTTTTGGGGCTTCGGGTGTAGAATTTCAGGGTTTCGGGTTTGGCGGTTTTGGAGTATGACAGGCCCGAGCGGAGGCCCACGATATTCAGTTGCGTTGACCCTAACCTTAGATGATCGGCTCGACAGCCGAGAGAAGCTTACACTTTCACTTCTACATGGGGTTGTACAACCGCAACGAGATTGAAGTTTACATACTCAGCTAAGCTCCTCAGTCAGAGTCCACCTTCAAGAGGAGACTGGTTTTGGAGCAGGCATGACTCCAAGTCGCATTACGCCTTTACGGGCTGCATCATAAAATGTGAGAAACCTGGAGCTCAAAAGCCGCACAGCGCAGCGCAAAAGAGCCCCATAAGTTGCTCCAAAGTCTGTCGCCACCCAAACCCACAAATCCCCTACAGTCCCGGCTTTCGTGCGGGCGTTGCTGTGCAACGGGCTGTGTTGGGAACCCTTGCTGTCTCGCAAGGACCCCAATCTGGAACAAGCCCCACTCTGCACAGCGATCCTGGTCAGATCTCTTCCACGGCAAATTCCAGACTAAGTTCTGTGCACCTCCTCCTTTCCCACCAAAACCCTTAAAAGCAAACCCACATCCCACTATCATGAACAAGAACTCCTGCGCAGTCTGGGACCCCGTAAAATAGGGTTTTAATAACTAGCATAGGGCTTTGGGGCCCAGTATATCTAGGCCCCTACATTATGCTTCTAGGAGAGAACGTCTGGGATAAGAGAGCCGAGAACCGAAAGCCCGAATACGCTGAACTCTGAATCTAAAGATCCCGTTGCCACACTATCGTAGGGGCCTTAATAAGTAGAATAAGATTTTGGGGTATGCTAGACCCTATATTGACCGTCTGCTCAACACAAGATGAACCTCACACAGCTTGGGAGTGCTAGAAGCAAGAGGTGGCTACAGGCATTTTCCTATAGGCTCCCTTGTAACTCCTTTTTCGGATGACTGTGTACGGTCCTAAATATGAACCACAAAAAAGGAACTACAATGGAGCCAAAAGGTACAGTGAAGAAAGTACAGTAACCCTAAACCCATGCCCGTGGACCCCAAACCCCAAAAACCGGGGCCTAGAATAGCCTGACAGAAACCCTAAACCCTAAACCCTAACACCAAACCTCTGATCGGAAAGGCCACGTAACATAGGGACCTGAACTCAGTTGCTGAGTTTCCCTGGCCCAGAAAAGGGAATAAGGGTTTAGGGTTTAGGGTTTAAGGTTTCGGGTTTAGGGTTTAGGGTTTAGGGTTTCGGGTTTAGGGTTTAGGGACTAGGGTTTAGGGTTTAGAATTGAAGTGGGGTAGGAATCATGCGCGGACCTCGGAAAATTAAGGGTTACCTATTCTGCTATCGAGAGAACGAGGCCTAGATTCGAGTCTTGGGGAGTATAATATACTGCCCCTATACTCAGCCCTAAAGGAGCCACTGGTTGGAGGCTGAGTGGCTCCTTCGCCGCCCGGCGAGTGACCTCTGCGAAGGCCTTCCAAAACAACTCTTGTCTGCAGCATCTGCGGCAGACTAATATTGGGGCTTTGGTCATAATTAGAATAAGGTTTTGGGGTATACTATACTATAATTACAATAAGAAACCGCCCAAAATAGTCTTGGTAGTTATTTAGGCCCCTATCCCCAAGGGTCCAAAGGACCCAATAATCAGGTACTTAAGTTTCGGATAGTAGTTATGTAGGTTACTATTTGGGAGAGTATATGATTATTAGGTACTTGGGCCCTTAGTGTATGGTATGCCTGACTTTCTGATGGGCGCGAGCTTGGCTCCTGAGCCTCACGTCCTGGGTGCACCCAGAAATGCTGTGATGGCCCCCCCCCCCCTGCTCCTGCAGATCCTGAGCTCTTAGCCCCTAAACGTTTAGGGTTTTAGGGTTTAGGGCTTCGGGTTTAGGGTTTAGGGTTAACTGTAAACCCTAAACGCCCTGCCCTGCCTGAAACTGGGAGAAAGCATCAGCCCACTTGCTGTACCTCGGCGCTAGGGCTGCAGCAGTACCGCTTCCCCTTGGAGCCCAGTACTACCGCCTGAACCCTAAACCCTAAACCCTAAAGCCTAAACAATCAAGCCAAAGTCCACGTGTCTCTTTGCGTTCTGTGCTCAGAGCCCTACTCCTGGCGGGCTATTTACCGTAATCCTGGCCTTGCTAATCGGAATAGGGTGGTGGGGCATTGAATTGTAGTCAGCGTTAGGGACGCCATACTTAGACATTTCTTTAATGCTTCGGCCCGGTATCTTGAACTCTTAACTCCCGCAGCCCTAACAACCACAAACCCCTCAGTCATAAGATTTGAACCCATCTCTAGGCATCTAGATTGCGGATTAGAACTCAGTGCTTTAGGGCAACTTGGCTGAACACTCGGCAAGCGGCATGAAGTGAAGTTGAGTGACGGCCTGCTCGGCAGCGATTTATCGGGGAGGCGTCGAGATTTCTTGGCTGCTTCGAGCATGTGGCTCAGAAGACAGGTCCGAGTGTGCTGCTGATTCTTGCGACGATGGCTAATTTCATACTATGGCTCCCCAATGCTACAGCTCTTTCCTGAAAATATGTGAACTAAGGTCGTCTGTAGGTTTCAAAGCCAAGAATTAACTAGGGTTAAGGGCAGGGTTTAGGGATCTGGGCGTGGCAGGGCAACTTCGGGAAAGGAGGTGAGGAGAAGAGCTTGTACATTCCTCATGTTTCACTTCGATGTGCTCCATGATGTGACCCTAAACCCTAAACCAGCAGCAAGCTTCGGGTTTGGTTTCTTTGGTTTCGTGTCGGGACACCCGAGGTCCATGGGGTTTTGTGCCTTAGAAGGATTAGGGCCATGTCTCGGGTTCAAAATCGAGCTATACTCTATAGGGTTTAGGGTTTATAGGGTTTCGGGTTTAGGGTTTAGGGCCCTAAACCCTAAACCCTAAACCCTAAACCCCTAAACCCTAAACCCTAAACCCTTAGCGCACCCCCCCCCCCCAACCAGCTCTTCAACGCGGGGTGGGTCGCGGGCTTCGCCAGACCAGGGACTGAAACGGGTCAGAGTTCAGCGTTCCTGGGCCTGGACGTACTACCTGCCTGGTCCAAAGAACAAAGAACCCTAAACCCTAAACCCTAAACCCTAAACCCTAAACCCTAAACCCTAAACTCTAAACCCTAAACCCTAAACCCGGAACCCTAAACCGAACCGATACCCAAAATACCGGCAGATGGCTGAGCATTTTCTGGCTTAGGGTTGAGGGCGTGGGATGTCCTTCATGCCCCAAGAACTCAATGGTCCATAACTTTGGGGCATGAGGCCTGAAGGGCCCAGGCAGGGGCCCAAACCCGGATAGGCCTTGAAGCTCGAGGAAGGCGCAGACCCTTCCGGTGCATGAGAGACCCTCAACCCCGAAACCCTACGACCCTGAAGGCCCTAAACCCCCCCAAAGACCTATAGATCCTCAAGCTGTCAACCACGAAACCCGTCGGCCTAAACCCTCAACCCCGAAGCAAACTCCAGCTACTGCCCTCTCCTCCCAGTACCGGTTCCACGCCAGCTGCGTTCGGAAGACGATGGCGAAAGTCACTCCCGCTCCTGGCGTTGTGATTCTATGGGGCTAAGGTTTCAGTCGATGGGTTTAAGGCTTAGGGTTTGGGTTCATGGTGCATTGGGTTTGTTGCATTCAAGGCAACAGGGCTTGCGATCCCATTCAGACCCTAAACCCTAAACCCTAAACCCTAAACCCTAGAAGGGCTCAGGGCTTGGAGTGGTTGGGCTTCGGACATTTCGGCCTTTTGGCCTCTGGCCTGCCATCCAACATCCCCAGGATGGAGTGTCATCCTATGAACATTCCACCCGGCTTTCCGGGTCTGGGTTGTTTTAGGCGTAGGGCTTAAGGTTTAAAAACCCTAAACCCGAAACCCTAAACCGTGGCTCTGAAAGTTCAGGGCGTAGGGTTAAGGATGGCTTGGGGTGAAGTGTGTGGGGATTTCCCTATGACAGCTACGGACCTCATTAGTCCTGCAGCCTACCTTACTGCATGATCCTGGTCTCAGGGTCTGAACGTCCGGATTCGAAA